AATAAGAAAATATAATCTTTTGAAAAGTTTTTATACTAAAAGTCTTACAAATTTTGGAGAGAGAGAGAGAGAGAGAGAGGTTTTGTAAGAATTTTTGCACACAAAATGATTAAATTAATATATTTTTGACAGCAATTCTCTGGTGTTTATAAACTAAACCATTTTAATTTTAAAACTTTAAACTAAGACTTGAGTGAAAAATTGCAAGATTTTATATAATAAATGCCTTAAAGGGAAAGTCATGTATGTATTGGACATATTATATGACTTCATATCATATTTGCTGCAAATAGGAATAGAGAGTGTATTTTGACTTCAAATCTATAGAGAAAACCTTGATATGTGCTCTCTCTCTCTCTCTCTCTCTCCAAAATTTGTAAGACTTTTAGTATAAAAACTTTTCAAAAGATTATATTTTCTTATTTTTCTCATTGCGTAAACTTTTTCTATAATTCAAATTCTGCATTAAAAAACTTTTTTGCAATACACTCTGGGAGTACACCGTAGAGCATAACATAATTTTGTGGTATATTTAGCAATATACTTTTCAACGATTGCATTACATGCTTAGTTGAAGCATATTTGGGACCAAAAACAAATTTATAAGATTTGATTTGATTTTATTGATTTTGACAGTTATTTGCCTCCAATTCTGTGCAAACTATTGGCACAAAATATACAAAATATAAATCCGTGTCTCGTATTACAGTTATATGATTCATATATATGTAGATTTGGTGATGTTTTGATAATTTTTCAGATCAACTATAATGTGATTATTTGAGTGACAATTTCCAGCATAATATGACCAAACTCAAAAAAATCAAATTCACTAAAAAAATTCACAATATTTTACTGTACTTTAAAATAACCATGACATTTATTAATTTACCTATTCATTCAATAATATTAATAATTTTCACAATTAAGACTTAAACTAGAGTTTGATTTCAATTCTGTTTATTTATTCAAAGCATTTGGGAATGATTTACATAAATATTAGATACAAAAGCTGATAATCATGTGAATAATTGTACAAAACTACAAATTACAATACAATTACAAATCTTGACATTTGTATCGATAGATAATTTATACATAAATTGTTTCATTAAACTGTTATTAAAATAATGAGAAATATGTTTGATTGGCTGTATGGGTGGACAGGCTTGAGATAACTGACCAAGTACAGTACAGTATAAAAAATTATTACTTTTAATTAACACTTCATTAATAGCTAAATACATGCAATTTGTATGAAATATGGGGTCAAAGGTGACCTCAAAAGCCAGAAGTAGTGGTTCGGATGAACTCCTCGAGAGTCCAGTCCTCGTTGTCGCCATCAATGGGTCCATTGGTGTCAGTGTTTGGTCCCGTCTTCACGACGTCTGCCATTGTGTCGTTTGTCCGCAACTTTGTGCTCACTTTCCACCCAAATATGAGTTCCTAAAGAGTAAGTAAGTATTAATAGCTTCATATGAAAGCCACAATTGCTTTATAAAGACATTACAGTTACGATCAAATAGACTACAATCATATGACCACTGAATGGTACTTTTTGTGGTACTTTTTGGACACAATTGTCAATCAGTGAAGATATGCACAAATAATTGATTACAGTTTTTGTGCAATACTTTGAGCTATTTGTAGGCACTTGTGATTGCAAGCGATCACTGACTCTCATAACATGTGCCCAATATATTGGACTATAATATCAACTGATCTATAGTTGTGTTTGCATTCAATAAAAAGTGATGCAAACTGTAAACCCCACTGTTTTACATACTGTACTGCATGTCACTCACGGTGTGGACCAATCTTCACGCTGTCCACAGGCCTTACGCTATTATAATTGATAATGCAATTTAAGTTGACATGTGAACAGTGTTTGGGCCCAAACCACTGCTACACAAACCCCCATTTGGACTCAAAAATGTAGGGCTGGACTGGATTTTTAAATTTTTTTTGAATTACTCCCTATTTTCGGGGGGTTTCGTCCACTCGATTCTATAGCTAGCGATATATAAAGTACTGCATGTGAATCACGAGTGACGGTGCGATCTACCAGTGCTCAGCGTTTTAAAGTTAGCGTTATATCTTTTACGATTTAAAATAATTTATTTTTTTAATTGATTAAAATTTTGTCACCCTGATACCCCTTTCGGTCAAAAAGGGTGGCACTGTTTCGGTTAGCTTTATATTATATGAGCATTCATTTGGACCCAAACTTTCAAAGTGAATCCATGGGATAGCATATGTGAAAATCTATATATTAAAGTACCAAATATTTGTTATACTGTACATATGCTTACTTCACAATTACTCACAAGTTAGTAGCGCTTATATAGCTTAGCGTTAGTTCCCTTTATATATGGATGCTATCCGCTATTAATGCATACTCTGGCAGTCAAATGTAGTTATTTGGAAACTGCTTAAGCCTTAGAAAGTGAAATCTTATTATGACTGCATCAATATAAAAGGCACAAGTACAATCATATCAAACATTTCTATTATATTATTTGAAAAGGAACCAGGTAGACTTAACCATTTCACACCATTTTGTACTACAGTTTTCAATACAAATAGGAATCAACTCATCAGACATAGAGTGAGGGCTGGTATATAATGTAGTGATAGTGGGGGTCATCGCACGTCTATTACGGGTCAGTCAACAAAGTACTCACACATACTTTGAGGGGATGTGCACACAATTAGCATGTTTTCCATGAATTCGTATCAAATAAGCCAGTACACATTACAACCATTTATTATACATTCGTGTTGAGGGATATCATATTATATGTTGAGTATGGGATGGGATGGGATGGGATGGGGGTCGGTATTACTGTATACGTACAGTGGGGTTACGCCTTGGCTTTCAATTATAACCTTTTGTAGCAATGGATCGCATTTCACATGAATTGCAGACATTTTACACACAAAAAAACTCAACACTTATGTCGGATTCAGCAGTCAGTGCATTGGTAGCTATAAATTAAGTAAATTGTATGGTGATTACAAATAACCATGCTTGTTTTCTATTGGTTCTCGGCGATACAAGTATTGCGGCCATTGAATTGCCTTTTATTGAAGCCTTTTCCCCTTTTGTCTACTAATATGTATAGTCCGGTAGTATGGGGTTGGGGTGCAGTG